GGCCTCACTAACTTACTGAGGCTGATCTGGAACTTGTGATTATCCTGCCTCAGTTCCTAAGTTGCTGGAATTTCAGGCATGTGCCACCATGCCCAGCAAGATTTTATGGAGCCTAATGTTGGATTGTGGGAAGAGTTTTTCCAGGTAGGAGCCTTCTAGATCTCACATGCAACATAACTGTCAAATGTTCTGGTTTTGGTTTGTTGTTGAAACACAAAATTATTTAAAGTACATATGGCATCATATGACACAAACCAATTTTTCCTCCAGCACTACATCAGTGATCAGCTGATTAGAAATTCCAATTTTAAATGTTAAACCTTAGAATACAGAATATTTCAGTGTGTGTGTGTAAGACTGTATTTACCACAAAATAGAAACCTGACATCCTGGAGAAATATTCACCATTCATCTATGCTTACTTTCTGGCACAGGACCCCTTTGCATATGGGTGGGCCCTCTAAGTCAGCCAAATCTGAAATTTGATAAACTCTTGCCTGCTGTTTTTATACCCAAACGGACACAGTCAATGACTCTATGTATCATATTAAAAACACATGCACTCTAACTACACAGTCATTACCTCTTGTTAATGATTTTTATCAATGAATGACAAGCAACATGGTTAGTTACCATAAAATGCTAGCAGTTTCTTCTTCCTCCATTCTTCTATTCCTATCCTGGACACTTAGACAGTTGTTAATTTACAATCACATGTGACTCCCTTTCCCTGTTATAATGTTATGGAAATAGGGCTAAATTAGATTAGGGGAAAAATGAACTGATTATTGTAAAACAGCAATTAATTTCTTACTGCTTAACTTGAACATTCATGCACATTAGTTTTCCAAGTAAATCAGTAAAACGCCTTGTTAAACTTCCTTTCTGCCAAAAATGCCCTGCCATCTGTGTTCTACATGGCAGCATTTTCTTATTTAATACATATGTCCCCCCCCCTTTTGAGAAGCATGTTAAGAGTTTTAATATGACAAGAAACAGAAATAAAATAGTGAAAACACATTGTGTTTCAAACGTGAATGCAAAGTTCAGATTTTGTGACATTCAGAGAATTTGGAATTTCATGTGCCATCCATTAATTTTATGGAAATGCTAAGAGGCCTCAATGTTAGAAAAATCTTAATTTTAATGTGTATGCAGTTTGGGGTTTGAGTTATTGGATTGTTTTAAAAGAGTTAAAGACCTAGTGTTTAAAATAGGATAAATTTGCATCAAATAGTCTGAAAAAAAAAAACAACCCTCCACTTGCAAAAGGTAATGCCACAAAAAGCAAAGTAAGGAAATATAAAGTGTTTTTGCCTGGTGGCTGGAAGTATAGCTCAGTGTTAAAGTGCATGTTTAGCATGTACAAGGCTTTGGGCACTAGGAGATCTGAATAGTCCCAGCACTATTAACTACCTTTGGGAAAATCACTTAAATTCTCAGTGTCTCCATTTCCTTCTAAGTAAATAAGAGGCTTGTGTAAGACTAATAATCGTAACACTCCATATGGTATCACATACCTGTAATCCCAGCAACTCAGAGGCTGAGATGGAAGGATGGTAAATTCCAAGTCAGGCTCAGCAATTTTGAGAGACCTTATCTCAAAATAAAAAATAAAAATAAAAAATGGGGGCCGGAGAAGGAGCCCCATAGAGAACCACTGGGTTCGATACCCAGAAAAAAAATAAAATAAAACAGTTCCAGAAATTTCAAGAATTTTGGGAAAGTCTATAGGAAAACTTCCTTAAACAAATACTCTCCTGTGATTGAGGCCCTGAAAAACCAGAACGGAATTGAAGGCAAAGCCAAATTTGCAGCTGGTTTTCTTTGCCAAGAATGATGCAGTATTTCACCCGCCTCTTTGTAGGGTGCGGCTGTCTGAATGGGGGCTGCTTCTGCAGAGTGTAATTGGAAAGGATGGGGGTAGGAGTTGTACTTTGTGGCCTTCCTTTGAGCTCATCGTCTGGGTTACCGAGGTTCCCTAGCGATTGGCAGAGGAGGCCCTACCTATCCAATTTTGACAGTAGATGTAAAAAGACCACTAGACTAAGAGGGTGGCAACGAACTCCTATTTCCTATTATCCGTCTCCAAATTCCCACCCCACCTCCATTATCAGTGGAAAGCTGTTGTGATAAACGGATGATGAAGAAATAGATTCAGAAATGATAGAATGAAGAGAAATAAATAAATCTCTAAGTCTTTTTTAACTTTTAAGAGGCCTAGTTCTTTTTAGATGCCACTTGAAGAATTACTTGTAAGAAAGGGGATTTTTTTTTAAAATTTTTAAAGAATTAGGAGCTGTGGTTTTAAATAAGATATTTAAACTCTACCGACTACCTTCCATTCTAAGTGATCCCATCCCTCTAAAAGGAAATGCCTTCCATATTCCTCCTAAAAAAGCAAGAGCAAAACAAAACAAAACTTGAAAACTGTGTATTCTGCTCCATGACAGACAGTAAGGCCATTGTCTTCTACCTTTGGCCTCACTGATCCTGTACAGGACGTCCTGAACCAGGAACCCAGATGAGGAAAGGTGGGGTGGGGGTGGGGGCTTGGCAGCCTAAAAGAAGCTGGGGGTGGGGCAGAGCTGTGCCCCAAGGCTCTGCTCTTGTCTACTTTTGCGTTTTTACTCTACACCTCATCACTTCCATCCTAAATAAAAAAGAAACATCAAGGAACCAGCTAAGCTTAATTAGGGGTAAGTAATAAAGTGACATGGTTCTCACTAAACGTTGTCCTCTGACCCCTTTGGACCTAATGAGGTTTCCGCTCAGGGGAAGAGGTCCCCACCGCATGTGGTCTCGGGTGTCTGTGGATCTGCGTGTGCGTGTTCAACCGGAGTTATATTCTCCCGGCGCCGGGCCCCCTTTCCTCAATTTTCTTAGGTTTTTAGGTTGAAAATGCAGTGAATCCGGATAGTGGCTGAGGGTGGGCAACTGGACCAGGGTAGATCGAATGGCTGAGACTCAGCTCTCCGGTGCCTACAGGTGGGATCCCTGCGCTGGGGCGGCGGGTAGCGCACCCTCCACTAGGACCTGACCGCAAGGGCCGCGGCGCTGGGGGGCGTGTGCGGACCGCATGGGGGCTGGACGACTTGACAGATCGCAGTTAAAGAAAACAGTCTACAAAACCCACACCGCCGACTTCCCCACGTCGGTCTCTAAAGACGTGGGTGGAACCGAGGGGGGCGACTGCGTGGAATTCCGCGAGGTCGCCTGCGCCGCCCACCCGCGCCCCCGCATCGAGCTGCGTCTTGGGCCCCGCCCCACCCAGGTTTGGGCTCGGAGGAGGGGGCGGCTCGTTTGGGCGAAGCGGGTGACTTATTCCACTTGGGCTTCGCGAGTACTCGGCTTTGCTCCTCCGTAGTAAACAAAAGTGTCGCCGCCGCCTCCACGTTGACTTGCCTCCTAGCAATCAAAACACTGAGAGGGCGAGAGACTCACAGAAACATTCGAGAATTACCAGAAAATAATAACAGAGACTCAAGAGAGAGAGAGAG